TTATCATCTTTTTGTAAGTCTGGATACAATGTATGAAATTCACCATACTAGAGTCTTTTTACATTAATATCATGGACCCAAACACTCCTTTTCACTTTTTTTTTGGAGGTCAACATAAAGCAGCTGCCGCTAACTCTATAAATTCGTCCTCGCTGTCGCTGCTTGTCATGTTTCTCGATTGAAACACCTTTATAGAAAGACTGAAGTGAGGCGTCCGAAGACGCCGTCTTAACTACCGTGCACACCGCTAAGCCGCGACTGTCAGCCGCGGCTGACGGACTCGTCCGATAATTTGTTCTCAGCTTAATAGTTGAAACTGTGCCAACATAAACACAAAACCAGTGACTTATAAGGATATCCGGTAGACGACCGAGCCAGACAACAGAGACAACTGCAGCCTCGGACTGATTATTATACATAGTATGAAAAATTGTCGAGATATCCTCTTCTAGTGCCGTTATTAGGGAGAAAACTATGGAATACGAGTATAAAAACTAAACGGGATTCAGTTTCGTCCATGAAAAATCAAGGACCTATCACACGCGTACAGTAGTTTTCCGTTCGAAATTTTAAAGCGGGGAAAAACGGGACTCCGAATGTATGTGGCCGACTCGTCCTGAATTCCGAAACGGAATTCCGAAAGTATTTAGCCGGCCTTACTGTGTTTACACACATAAAATAATAGTAAATAAACTAAAAATGAGTGTATGTGTATGTGTGGCAGTACGGGTGTTATAAATGATTAGCTAAATGTGTATTAACCACTACGTTTAGGGATTAGTAAGTAGTTACGAGTTAGTACTTTAGACCAGTCGGTCTAAAGTACTCACTAACTTTTAAGTAAAATAAAAATATAAACGATTTGTTTATTTTCAAAACAAAACTAATTTCACATACAGTCATGTTACAGAGAAATTTTAATGTTCCCTAAAGAACATTCAACATAGCTCATCAAGTTATGCTTTATTGCAATCTTTGAAAAATTTACTAGGTTTTCTTAGATTTTAAGATAATCACTATAATAAGCCGTGCCTTTTAGTATAGTGTAGTATTTAATAAATTTTAAAAAATCTGACATTTGTGATTTTGAATTCGTATTGTGAACCATAGTAATTATTTCTTATATTTACGCAATTACTACATAGTGAATTGAACTATTATAGTTTTACTGATCCGTAAAATTTAATTCCTTTTAAAGTGTTGGTAGTGTTCACGTAAATATATAAGAAACCAAGATTTGGTTATGTACTCTATTGAAAATTACATTATTTATTTAAACATAAAAAGTAGGGGCACATAGTTATAGATTTTTCGAAAGATTTGTCAATTATTTTCTATAGAAATTTGTTCTTTACGTGTTTCTATTCCTGTATAGTCTTTAAGGCGAAATCCATTTCATAACAATTACTTTCTGTTATTTCGTGAAGTTGTTGATATTTTGAAGCTCAGGTGTTTTATATTTTTATCTCTTATGGATTTACCTCTTTACTAGGATCCTTCTAGTTACTAGTTTTAATTAGGTACTAGGCTCTTCTCCTATATGGAGGCCGTTTACAGACATAAAATGCACAAAGATCATCCATATCCAGAATAATTAATTGTAGGCACACACTTGTTCCGTGCGGAATGCTTGATTTCATCTCAGCATCGCAACTCAATGCTAAGCTGCTGCGCCACCGATGTATTATAATTTAGTCTAAGTCATTTGAAACTTAATGTTCCAAAAACAAAGTATTAACTTTAATCGATATATATGGCTCGAAGGACCAAAAACATAAACAATATCATAGACAATTTATAAAGTTGCTGGTTATAGTTATTGCAGGAAGTTTCGGATAAACAAAATACAATTCAAATTAGCAATACAGAATATACCTTTAGCGAGTTTTCAAATATTTATTTTCGAAAACGAACGATGATCGCAATGTTGCACTTTGAATTCAAATATCATGTCGAGTGGAATGAATGATTGTCATTGTTCAAACTATTGCTCAATTTTATTATAATTATAAAAAGGAAACTGTAATGTAGATCGTTCAAATTATATATAAGTATATATATATTTTATCGAACCATCGGAGGGTATGTTGTCAACTCGCTCACGGCCTCCTGCGTACTGCCATTGTATGAGCTGATTCCGCGGACTCCGCAAGTAAACCGCTTGTACCTTGCACATTGTATAATACACGTGTTTGATTTAAACTCCCAGCATACATATCAGTCAGCAATTTACATTCGTCGCTAATATTTTTAACTACGTCGTGTGCCAGGATAATTTCTTAAGGCCATTCTTTATTGCACTATACATTCCTAATTTCCTTATTTTGGCAAGTTATCTAATTATTAAACAAAAGGTGTTCGTCAAATTATTTTTAAGTCAAACAATGTACCTAAGACATTAAAGAAATTTGTACTAAATGTAGTTTTATTAACTCTTAGTACGTAGTGCTATTATTTATTCTGTGCCCCTAGCCATAATAATATTAAAGGGAATATTAGTAATGTTTAATAGCATTACTAGTATTTTTTTTAAACTGCTGACCGTTATTGTCCAAAATTGCAATTGATGTTGATGGTGAAGTGGCTGACAGTCGAACATCCCAGATTGTAAAACTGCTCTTCGCCATTGTTTTTTCATGACAACGCTCGACCACATACTACACAACACAACAGACGTTGAGAAAATTAGCAGAACTAATCCTTGACCCAACAGACCCCCACAATTTATAATTAGTTTTGACTGCTCAAACACACTGACTCTATACGTGGTAGAGCCACATGCTACAGCTATATTAGCAGTATAGTTGTAGCACAAATGGGTCGGCTCGATCGGGGAAGGACCACGCTCTCACAGAATACCAGCGTAAAATAGCAGCCTAACACTGCTGTGTTTCGTATGGTGAGTTTCGTTCGGAGACCCATTTTACTGGAAAAGAGACATTCCATCTTAGTCCTCACGGGTGACAACGCATCTGCAGTTTGATTCGTAGTTGAGGATATGTGTGTATGTGTCTATGGGTCATCTGCGCTCATTACTGCGCGTGAATTCCCGCCAAAATCTCAAGAAAAATAATTTAAAATACCTATTTGAAATAATAAGTGTTCCATTCATTAAATTTATTAGCTAATATCCAGCCTCCACGACAACATTGCCAGTGTCAAACAAATAAAGAGTATCCAACTTCTTTTAACATGCCCGGTGTGGTTACTTTATGCAAGGGATTAGCATAATAAAATGTTATAAGCACTTTGCGGATGAGTGTTGTCGTAAAAAAGCAGTGGACTGAAGCAAAAAGCAACTAACCAGACTCTGCCTAACAAAATTTCGTAAATTTTGGTGGTCCACTATTGTAATTTTGTGTCAAATCTCGTGAAGTTGTTATAAAATTTAGTAGTTTGAATCTTGTAGTGTGCTGGCGACGTAAGAATCCTCCACCCCATCGTCCCGTGGCTATTGTAATGCCTCGCGCTGCTCACCGCTCTGCTCCTCGCGCTACCGCGATGTGGCCCTTTCTGCCCGCATACTGCTGTACACGTGCAATTAATCGCGACGCTCTACACTAGGTTGCTTGCGTTTGCAACACAATGGATGTTGAAACTGTGGCATCGTGCGCGCTATATGCATATTTAGTATAGCTAATTATATCAATGTCATAAAGAGAAATATACGTCGCCACATCCTCGCCAACAGAGATGGTGGATGACATCTATTCATCGCAATCTTAGTTATTAAGTGGCCGGCCACTCGCGCTCATATTGCGAGTCCTTTGACTCGCACCCAAAAAACCAACAAAACAAGGAACGATGGACATCACGAGGACACGACGTGCGGCCTGACGAATATTGTTGCCACACTACGTCTCTGGCTCCTTTCCTCGCTACCTCCCATGCCACTCGACGAGTGTGTGCGATGGGTTAAGATTAAGAGGCGACTATAGGAGATGCTAACAAGAATCTCATAGCTACCAATTGATGGCTGTATAACTCTTTACGCTAGGCGTAAAATTATACTGAAATCGACAGAGTATCTAAAAAGTGCTCTTTCCGTGTATACTGTATAGTATACAAAGTACTAGTAGTCTTTGCTGAGTACCACTTCGATCATCAATCCGCCCCCAATCATCCATCCTGCGCTATCAAGGCGCCCTCAAGCGTCCCCATATAAAGCGGTGGACTTTTACAAGCTAATGAAGACGATGGCCCTTGGACTTAGAATAGGTACCTACTACTCGACTTAGTAGCAAGGTATTCTTATTTCATAGGTATAATCACTAAGCAATGCAGTTACAAAATATTATGTAGGTACTAATGCCTAAATTAGAAATCAATATAATAAATTAAAAATAAAAAAAATAGGTAAAGAAATATTTCAAAAACAAGGAACACCACTAGTTTCATTGATTTATATAACTCAATGACTAGTTTGCTTTGCTTTTTCTCACGGTAGTTACTTTACAAACGTTGCAATACTTTTAAATTTAATATTTTTGTGGACTTGATATCGATACTAATTCGAAGCAATTAATTAAATTATAAAATGAAAGGAAATTAAAATACATACTTTATTCAATTTAACTCTCTTAATAATAATAAGTTTTCTTTTTGTAATTTAATTGCAGGAGTCAGTTTAGTTGGTAGTTGCAAATTTAATCTAATTTTTAGCGTTGTCTGTTTATTCAGCTTTTATCTTCTACTTCTACTTTACTATAAATATTTTTTTAATAATTGACAGTATGTTCCATCGTTTTCATTTTAAGGAATAGTAATATGACTGACATCATTTTATAAAAAATTTTAGTTGGCTGAATTATATTTCCGTTGTTATTCGCATAGAGTAATAATAATATCTCTAAACTCTAAAAAACACATTCGCGGGTAAAATGCGCTTTGGGTAGTTAAATGTCACAATTTACATTATTTCTATTTCTATCACTGTTTTGCTTAATAACTTTCACATTATCTTAATTTTCCTGTGTGATGTTGCACGAAATAAACCAAAAATGATTGATTTGTTAACGCCCTTTCGTTCATTTCTAAAATACAAAAGTGTGTGCACTGATAACAATGTATTTCGCTTGCATTATAAAATTACTGTGATTATGTTACTTATGTTCACCTTAATGGTTACCTCGAAACAGTTTTTTGGAGAACCCATACATTGTATGAGCAATGCCAACGAAGATAATGATAAAGATGCTATTAACAACTATTGTTGGATTTACGGCACATACACTTTGAAGAGCAGATTTGTGGGTTAGTACTTTTATAAGTAAACCGATCACGACGAATACCTTGCGTTTTAAATTAAGGTGCTGATCTCTTCGAGGCAGGCCACGTTGGTCAACCTAAACTTCCCCAAATTTAAACCCCGATAGGTCTCAAGTAATTAGCCGTTGGAATATGCACTTATCTTAATTATTGGTGACCACTATATTTGAATGATGTATCAATCATAAGATTATTTAGTTATTATTGTAAGATTGATTTTGACAGCCTAAGGGTTGTTAAAAAAGAACTTGAGGTATGTACTAGGGTAGCGCTTTTTCTACCTAAGAGTATGTATAAGTTGGTATCATGCTGCCAGGTATCAGGATACCCACTGCCGTGCTTCAGTTTTTTTTTTAATAGGATAGGGTGACAAACAAGCACACAGTCCACTTGATAAGTGGTTACTGTGAATAAAGAATGAAAATGCAGATGCGTTGTCACCCGTGACGATTAAGATGGAATGCTTCTTTTCCGGTTAAAATGGTCTCCGGTTCTCTACATTCATCATACGAAACAGCAGCATTAAGCTGCTAATTTACGCTGGTATTCTGTGGGAGCGTGGTCCTTATCCAGTCGAGCCGACCCATTTGTGCTACAACTATACTACTAATATAGCTGCAGCACAGATCTACCACGTAAAAGTAAAAAAATTAGTTTTATCTAACAATAAATATGTGTAGCCCTCTCTGAAGTTGCTTGCAGGTGTTTATTGACTATTACCACCAGGTAAACTATATGCTTGTTTGTCATTGAGCTAATAGAAAAATAATGATAACCATTTTATGTCAAACATTTTTTATAAAAAAAAATGTAGGCTTTTTATTATACAATTTTTTACACAGGTTTACTTACCAGTGTAAAATATTGTATTATTTGTCATGCAAAAATATTTTTGACATGAAAAATTAATTAGAATTGATGTGACTTGAAACTCAATGAAATGAAAAAGCAACACTAAAAAGAGACAAACATACATACATCTATATGATTTAGAGACTGCGAGAGAATGAGGTAAAATACAGTAAACTGTGTTTCCTATTGTTTCGGTGTTCTTTTTTTGAAGGTGTGAAACCTTCAAAAAAAGAACACCAAATGAACATTCTACTGCATGTGAATTGCCACATTTTTTTTTTTGATCCAGAATAACATTTTCACTGTTTCAAATTTGAATCAATTATTTTTAAATGTCATATGTACATAACAGGTATAGAAGGCAAACACATGGCTTATGCTGGGGTGGGTCCAAGCAAAACAGAAAATGATGAACAAATTAAGCATACATACTACCAGTGGGTGTGTTTTGTTCTTCTGGGACAGGCAGTCATGTTCTACATTCCGCATTACCTTTGGAAGTCATGGGAAGGCGGAAGACTTAAAGACTTAGCTGAAAACCTGAGTATAAATTACACATTTTTATTTGTATTTTTAGTTTTCATATTAACAGTGCATTGAGCTGAAATCTGGATTCCCCTTGTGTATTCATGATTTAAAAAATTTAATTGTTTATTATTATTGTTAGACCATGAACATTTTTTACAGCTTGCTTAAAATTTGGCATAACTGTCAAAACTGTCAATCTTACATTATGAAGGCTAAGAATCTTCTGCTCAATAGATGCCGCTAGTTGACACTGAGATGAAGTTTTTTGTTACACAATGTCATTTAACTGCGAAAATAATTTTAAATAAAAGTTTATCAGTTTTGAGAATATTTTATTAATACATAAAACAATGCCTCAGTGTAATTTTTTGCATGTTTATAAACTTCTTTTTAATTTTTTATATTTTTATTTAAATTTATTTATTGTTTAAATTATAACTAATAGTATGGTAAGAAATATTAACCTTTACATTTTTCAAACATATTAACTTTCTGCTATGAAATCTGTCATATATTACACCTCATTAGTGGCGCCGCCCTGGTGGCAAATAAAGTCAGGAGTCCTCATTAACTGCATAGCTGTAGAAATTACTCCTTGTTTCTGGTGAAGGTCACATGATCTTAGCATTTGCTTTAGTATTATTTAATGACAGCAGATATGGGAGTGGAGATTCTCTTATGTGGTTTTCATACACACAACAGGTACTTACACACACCAATTATATTTTTTGAGATATATTACTGAAAGTAAAAATATGAAATGATTCACAGTTAGTAATAAATAACAATCTGATATCATAGTTAAACTGGGGTCTCTGATTATTTTTAGTTCAATCTATGCAGAATGAGCCCATAATTTCTCAAAATATTGCCATGGTTTGCTTAGCTGGATACAAACAAGGTTTTTGCTTTCATAATCTAAACTGTACATGTTCAGATTATGAAGACTGCTATATGTTTTCTGTGAATTTTAAACAATTCTTTTTTTTAGGTTGCCCAATAGCGACAAACGTATGGACTGAAGAGCGCCGTTGTCAGTTGTTGGCTTATTTCAATGACCTTAATGCTTACACCCATAATATGTATGCACTGCATTTTGCTTTCTGCGAATTGTTGAATCTTCTCAATGTGGTTAGTATATTAATTTCTTTTTCTAATTAAAACTGCCAATTGAATTACCAAAATTGACACTTTAATTACACAACACTAATTACAATCTAAAACCACACTAATAATAAAACACAATTGTACTACTGATCACTTAAGTTTGCAGTTGTTTCACTTCGAAGTATTCTCTTGTATCGCCAATTCAATACTGACTCAGTCGTGATCTATACCGGCCTTATATAGGGCCTCAGATAGTTTCCAGAACCTTCTACTGTAGCGACATCTAGAATGTTCGAGTACATATCGGTCCCGAAATTTCTAGAAGGATCTTGACTCTCCTAGTTCTGCTACTCGACACTAGAGGGCGCTAGTGGGAACTAGTGTTGCCATATACAAGACATTAATAGTGGCGCGCAACAGTACTAAAGTTTAGAACAAGGGTCTTTATGAAGTGAAAACTTCTTTAGAATAATTGTGATTTGAAACTCAATGAAACAAAAAAATTACACTAAAAAGAGATAAACATATACTATTATAGGATTTAGCCTGTGAGAGAATGAGATAAAATACAATAAGCAACAGTAGCCTAATGGCAGGGTGCAGACCGCAAACTCAAAAGGTTGTAGGTTAGAATCCACATCTCAGTCTTCTCTTTGTGTGGTGCTTTAAAGATTGTTAAATAAATTTTAACTGTTAAAATAGTACATATAAAAAAATTATTAAATTTATTAAATAGATAAAAATAACCACATTGAATAAAATTATTCTCACATCCAATCCATTCATAACTTTCCATGATTTCATTACTTCAGGCCATCTAGCGTCTATTTAACAAACCACCTAGAGTCAATAACGTTTTGTTAGATAAAATGACTTTATTTATAGAAACAGAAACAGAAACAGAAACTTTTTTATTCAATATAGATTATAAATAATACTTATTGAAAGTCACTCTTTTGTTTGATTACCACTGGTTCGGAAAAAACCTCTGTCCTGGGAAGCACCAGCAAGAAACCCAGCGGGACTTTTTTTTTAAATAACAGCTTACAATCATGATGTTACACAAATTAACAACACAACAAATTAGAAATAGCTTGGTAGCGATCACCTCATTTCCAGGGGTTATTATCATCCATAAATTCCTTAATATTATAATAACCCTTTTTATACAAACTTAGTTTAATAAAGTTTTTGAACTTTGAACAGGTCAAACTTTGTATATTTTCTGGAATAAAAGAAATAAAGAAAAAAGAATCAAGTAGATGGCGCTATTACATATCAATTTTAATCGAAAGAAAATACTTTTTTGATTTATAAAATTTAAAATTTAGGCTCTCTATGTCTAAACATAAGGATTGTAAGAGTGCATGCAGATTAAGTAACATGTTGTGTAACTTGTGTTTTATAAAACGTCCACATTATGTTACATTGTTTTTCAACATAGTAACTAGTGCCCGACCGAAACAGGATTTTCAACCGAAATCGAAACTTATTTAGACATGTTAATTTTTTTTACTGTATACTGAAATCTGGTATATTTTTAATACATATACAGATGGGTAATGCATGTTAATGAAAAACAGTCATTGTAATAGTCATGTAGCAATATATTTATTTATTTAGATTAGATTAGAAGTAAAAATGAACAATTTAACGTTAAGAAATACTTTTTAAGTCATTTTGTAAAAAAAATCAACACCTACACCCATAAAAAGTTTTTTTTTTTTTTAGTTTAATTGAGAACATATTTTATTGTGTTCACAATATTGTTCAAATTATTCAATGAGAGCATTAACTTAATATAGCACACACACACACACACACACACACACACACACAAGCGCGCGCGCCCGCGCCAGCTATCTGCCAGTGAAAATCCCGTCAAAATCGGTCCATCCATTTCGGAGATTAGCTGGAACAAACAGACAGACAGACAAAAACTATAAAAAATGTATTTTTATTATTAGTACATACCGTATATATTTTCATATGCATTTAGTAAAAAGCTGTAATTTTGACATTACAAACAGACACTTCAATTTTATTTATTTGTATAGATGTCATATAATAGGTATGTGTAGAAGAAAATGTAAAATAATTTTCAAACCCATTATCTATACAAATAAATAAAATTGAAGTGTCTGTTTGTAATGTCAAAATAACGGCTTTCTACTAAATGCATATGAAAGTATAAAATTTGTGTAATTTTATAAATTGTGTTTATTTTATAAGTACCGCATACTTATAACAAAAACACAATTTTTTAAATTTTCGTCTGTCTGTCTGTTTGTTCCGGCTAATCTCCAAAACGACTGGACCGATTTTGACGGCTTTCACTGGCAGATAGCTGATGTTATGAGGAATAACTTAGGCTACTTATATTTTAGAAAAACAGGGTTCCGCGCAACATAATTAAAACTCTAAATTACACGCGGACGAAGTCGCTGGGAAAACCTAGTAATAAATATAACCTACAATTATCCTACCCCTGATGCCTACTTTGAATTCGTTTCATTCTCTCGAAGTTTTGTTCTCTGAAGGTTTAACTTCTACCGTGTGTGATGACCTACACACATGTTTTTTTTTACATGGTGTTCCACCTTCGTCGCATATTTGCAAGGCCACGGGAATGCATTCGCACACATTCATGGCTCCACTGGCGCCGACCGCCCAATATTAGCCTCTCCTTAAAAGGCGCACCAGAACACATGGCGCGCGTTACTCCGCAGCCTTCATCTTCACCAGCGCAACCGTGTCCGATGTGCGCAGGTCATGGGGCCAGGAACAACAAACACTCAGAAGCACTAGTCTTACTGACCCTAGCGGTGGATCTGGTCTATGGATCCGCCACCAACAAAGATTAGGCTACGTAGGGGAGGGGGAGCGGCGCCTCGCAATACCGTCGCTCTTCTACCGGCACTCGGGAGGAGTCACCACCATCGCATTAACAGTGCGGCGCCGCCTGATTCGTGGAGGATCCTTTTCCTTCGTCACTCCACTACCTCGGCTGCGGCGATAGGTGGGACACCCCACTCAGTGTGGCTACATCAAGCAGGCCCTTCACCACTGACCAGCCAGGTTCCTGTTAGTTCACCGCGGGTGACCAAGCCACCGCCACTAAGCCCCCCTCAGTAGCGCAGTGGCTTAGCAATGCGTAGCAGCGCTAAGGGCCGCGAGTTCGAATCCCGCATGGATTAAGTATTTGTATGGCCTACAAATAATTGCTCTGGGTCTGGATGTTTGTCCTTGTGAAATTTATGTATGTAAAAAAACTGCACAAAACTTAGATAATATTTATTATGTTGTTGATTTTAGTGTACACATTAGACATTTTTACTATTTCATTTTACTAAATTTTACAGATTGGCCAGATATTTCTATTGGATTTGTTTTTGGGAGGATCTTTCCGAAATTATGGTACTGCTGTAGCAGCATTTACCCATTCACCAAGACTTCCAGCCGATATGACAGACTTTGTTTCCGTCAACCCCATGGATCGGTACTTTCCGAAGCTGACTAAGTGCTGGTTCAGATCATATGGACCTTCAGGATCAATACAACTAAAAGACCGATTGTGTGTTTTACCATTGAACATCATTAATGAGAAAATTTTTATCATTCTTTGGTTTTGGCTAGTTGTCTTAGCTTTTATGTCGACAGTCGCAGTTTTATTCCGTATATTGGTATTCTGCCTACCTCCATTACGTTCCATTATGATCATGGGCCGCTTGAAATATGTTAAAAGAAGATCTGTGTCAAAAATTATTAAACACTTTAGCTTTGGCGATTGGTTTGTATTACACTTGCTGAGCAAAAATGTAAATCAAATCGTCTACAGAGATCTAATACTAGAATTATCGAAAGATTTGGAGCCTAAAGAAGTTACTGTTTAAGTATTTGTGAATAGGCAAAATTTTTAATTTTTATTTAATGTTAGTATTTCCATCATAAATAACAGAAACAGGGTATTTAAAGAAGGCTGAGCTTAGCTTTAAGCAGTGACTGATTTAAAAATACAAATAGTTATATAAGAGTTTATGAATAAGATTAAATTAGTTACTAAGATTGCAAGTTTCTATTGCATCATATGATTAATGTCTTATGTTTTTTTTTTTGAGAGAAATCTGTTACTTAGTTCAAATAATGAAAGTACTGGTGATGGTGGTTTAACTAAATGATTGTTTGTACTAAATGCCATGTCATGACATTTCTTCACTTTAGTTTTGAGTCTACAAATTCCTGATTTTGTTTATTTTTTAAAATTAAAAATAAGTTACAATTATCTTGTTTTATATCGCTTGAAAAATTAAACCGGTTTGAGTTTGTATGTTAATTCAGATGTAATGAACAATATATTATGTCTATATTGTTTCACTTACTCTTTAAAATTAGGATTTTTGTATCCTTAAATTGTTTAGCAAAGAACTGTTGCATTTTGTTTTCTTTTCTCTTTAAATGTTGATTAAATATTCTATTAAAAGTTAATTATTACAGACTTTGTTTATATCCAAATACCTTTTCCCATTTTTTTTAAATATAACTTGGTGCATTCTTAATCATAGCATACTCTTCAGGTAAACAGGAGGTACGATGGATATATTTATTCAAGATTTGATTTTTATCAAGACTAAATGCATCCATTAAAAAAAACCTTCAGATTGCAACCAATTACTATCTCACTATGATCACATTGTAAATTTTTGTTCTACAAAAATGACAATGTAAAGAAGTATTCCTTTTTTGAAAGCATCATAATATGCCACTATCATGAACAATAATTAGAGCTGATTGCTAATATTTTCTCTCCCCATATCATCCTGTGGGTGTCGTAAGAGGCGACTAGAGGGAAACTGAAACAGGAGATGGGTAGCAGCACCTCCCTATAAAGAGCTCAAATATTTTAAAAAGCAGTGGTCCAGCCAACCAGTCTGCAGTGTGCCAACTGGAAAAATCACTTGTAGGAGAAGCCTATTTTCAGTACATGTGTTTTAATAGGCTTTAAGTAAGGAGTGAATAAACTGTCATCTATATAATTCCTAAGATAACTCAATAATTTTGTGGCACTGCATATATGTTGGTTACTATTGAATGATGAATTTTATTTTATTTTTCTCTTTAAGGCAATTTCTTTTCTTACATTTTCATTTCTCATTTGTAGGAAAATTAAAGGGCCCTATATTTCATATTACCTATCCAATATTTGTTAATACGTAGGTCTGAATTCAAAAGGGGTAAAATTAATCTTAAAGATGACAAAAGAACCGGGGCCCCGCAAACAGCAGTAGCGGCAGAAAAAGTATGAACTACTGAAATGTTGGTGCGAGAAGACTCACGAATCACATATACGGACATCGAAAAGATTGTAGACATTAGTTCGGGGAGCATTCATACCAACTTACATCAACATCTTGGAGTGGAGAAGCTTTGTTTTGGATGGATCCCTCGTTTGTTCTCCGATAGCGAAAAACAGACTCGTATGGATTGGTGAAATGTGTCTACATTTTAAAAACAGGGCATCTAGGAGTGTTTCAGAAATCGTTACTGGTAACGAGACATGGATCTATCAATATGATCCGGAAAATAAAAGGCAATCATCGGTATGGGTCTACTCAGAAGGACAATTGCCGACAAAACTGCAAAGACCTCGCAACGTCGGCAAAAAGATGGTAGTTAGTTTTTTTTGCGGAGCGGACATTTGTCGACGTCAATGCTGGAAAATTGTAGGTCAGTCAACTCTGAATGGTATACTACAGTTGCATTACCCAAAGCCTTTCAAGCTGTGCGGGAGAGAAGACCAAAGACCGGGCTTCGGGAAATCATGCTGCATCACGATAACGCCTCTTCACATACCTCCCTTAGAACAAAAGCATTTATTGAGGGATCTGGTGTTGAAACTAAGTCACCCATCCTACAGGCCAGACTTAGCTCCTTGTGATTTCTTTTTGTTCCCAAGAGTAAAAGAAAAAATAGATATCTTTTTCAAGCGCCGAAGAAGCCGTGGCTGCCTACGAATAAGCGATATCCGACCTGTCAGATCAAGACTGGCAAAAGTGTTTTCAGAGTTGGTTTAGGCGAATGGAACTTTATATAGAGCATGATGGAGAATATTTTGAAAAGATGTAAAATAAATATTAATAGTATCTAGAATACTTTTTGTATATCTTAAAACTTATTGAGTGTATACCTTATTTAGTTAATAAACTCAATATTTCACAATGTCAAAAGCCATGTAACATAATGTGGCCTAGATCAGTGTTATCCAATTAGTGGTATGTATACCATGGGTTGCATACTTATGCAACGCATGGTATCTATATGGTATGGGTAAGGGCAATCTTTTGACTAAAACAAAAACTGCGCAGAAATATAAATCTCCGGCCAAAAATCAATTCTAAGGCTGAGATCTATAATAGATCGTACTTTGAATTTGCTCATACTTAGCTTACGAAAAACTTAGCTGAGTATATTGCTTAGCATAATCTTTGATTCTGAATTTATAGTTGTGTCGGGCTAAGATTAAGCTAAGCTTATGCTAAGGCCCAGACAGTCCAAATATTAATGGATGCTTCATTCCACGCATTATGTTTTTGAATTTACTGTATAAAATTAAAAAATATATATATAATTAAAATCAAAATTACTGTATAAAATTTAAAAAATATATTTATTTAAAATCGAAAACAGTCCAAATTGTATTTCATAAATAAGTTATTATTACATGAAATAGAAAACGGGTGTATGAAAACGGGAACGGATGAGATAAGTGCAAAATCAGACAAAAAAGAAAAAAGGTGATTTTAAGAAATTAAAAATAAGATTGAAATTACGTAAATAGAAAATAGATTTACTTATGTTATTTAAAACTAGAACGTGGCCTAAAACTACCTATTTATTGTTATAATTAATTAATTAGAGTAACATTAAACAACAATTTAAAATTAATACGGTGGTTTTGAACAATATCCTGAGATATACGTAACGTAAGTCGTCGATATCGTTGACTTAGGCTTTACTAAGCGCGCACTCAGCACGACTTCGAAGTTAGCTCTATAAATAGCGACATTGTCTTAACTCGAAAGTAATGTCTGAGCAAAGTCAAAGTACTGTCTATAGATTTCAGCCTAAGAATTTAAGAGCAAAACAACCAGTGTTACGGACGGCGTTCAGAGAGTGGTTGTTCAGACAGTGCTGCGCTTGGGCTTTGTACGGAGAGACAGCAGTCTCGCTTTGTTGTTGTGAGTTGTATTGGATGCTTGTGGCGCATAGTGTGTGCGTAACTCTCCTTTCTGGCTTCCTGGTACTGGTATCGGCAACCGTAAGTAGAGTGAAACACACCCGCCGCCTTAGAGACATCGTTTTTAAATTTTGTGTTGTTTGTTGCATTAGGCAACAGCTAGGTACCACCAACGCGCTAGGTGTATAGGTGGTAGTTTTAGGCACACACCTTCACGGGCTTCACCCTTGTCCAGGGCAAAAAACGCAAACGCGCAGCCCCTAAAAAGGCAGCCGAGCCTAATTCGGCCCCCTCGTTCCCCACTGCCACTCCGGTAAAAAAGCCAGTCCCCGCTACGCGCGCTCAACCCCCTAAGCCTGCGGCCAAGTTTGCAGCAAAGGGGTCCCCTGCTGAACGTAGAGAAAAGCCGCAGTCACCCAAAATCCAAGATAAATCTACATGGAGCAACCTATCATACTGGTTGAACTCCAAAAAATCTAAAAAAAAAACTGGTCAGGTCATCAGAATGTTCGTCAACTCGACTGAGTAATTTCGCAGTGTTACAAACCACCTGCGGCGCAGCAGATTAGCTTTCATACGTATGCCCTCCCAGAGGACCGCAACCTTCGCGTAGTCGTCCGCGGGCTCCCCAAGGAGCTCGAAACGGAACACATCCTTAATGACCTCAAAGGTCAAAATCTCCCGGTTCGAGAGATGCACAAAATGCACCATTAGACTGACAAAAAACGTTTCTTAGATCTGTGCCTTATTATTCTGGACCTGTCTCCGGAAGGCAAGGAGATCTTTAACGTTCGGCGCATCTGTAACCTAACGGGGATTGCAGTTGAAGCCCCCCGACTTAGGCTGACTTAGGGGCATCGTTGGCCAGTACCACCGATGCCAATTGTACGGCCACTCGGCCAAAAATTGTTACGCCAGGCCTAGATGCGTCAAGTGCATAAGTGACCACTGCACCTCTGACTGCCCTCGCATGCCCGAGACGCTTGAACCCCCGAGCTGCATCAATTGCCGCGAAGAAGGACACTCAGCGAATTATCGCGGGTGTTCCAAAGCGCGCGAAGGAAGCAGTGCGAAGGTAAAAGCCGACCCGGATGCGCGGGTCAAGCCAGTGTGTCTCGCTCTTAGCTGCCTGCCCGGCGCCCACTTCCTCGCCTCAAAACGCCACCAAGCCCGTCCCAGTAGCCGGGGCGGCCAAGCAAGGTGCTAACCCTCCCGCGCATTCCGCGCCAAAATCCAAAGTGTGGACGAAACCGCCGGTACTTGTCGCCTCATGATCAGTGCCGCCTCCCCAGACCCCAAAACTCATCCTCCTTCGCCGCTGACTTCTCGCTACTATGCGGTTTCATCAGCTACATCAATGTTGCTGAGTTATCCTCTTTGGCCCGCATCTCCTTGCTACATCAGCTAGCATCGGAATCCTCGGCGTCAATATATCGCATAGTGAGCAGTTTCGTGGTCACTTGGAAGGGAAGGCCGAATTTTCCTTTAAAAAGCTTGGCGTGCTAAGCAGAGCGAGACCGTATTTCATGCCGGCACATCACTTGCAACTTTACAAAGCGCAAGTTCGGCTTCACATGGAATACTGTTCTCATCTCTGGGCCGGGGCACCCCAGTGTTAGCTCCTTCCACTTGACCGTATCCAGCACAGAGCGGTTCAAA